TAAAACAGGGAACAGAATAGAGACTAAAGCAGGGAACAGAACAGGGAACAGAGCAGGGCTGCTGACTTTGTACCCGGCATGATTCAGCGAGATATAAGGATTTCCTCGGGTCGTGCCGTGGGTAAGCGGGGAAAGAACACGGGCTGTTTTGTACTTTTGTTGTATAAAGCGATGATTTGATTTAGGTAACATGGCCATTTTAGACAGATGAGGGTTGAAATATATACCTATCTCTGTCTTAGACTATATCAAAAGGGTCACATTCTCATATGTGTGTGTATGTATATATATATATATATATATATATATATATATATATATATATATATGTGTGTGTGTGTGTGTGTGTGTGTGTGTGTGTGTGTGTGTGTGTGTGTCTGTGTGTGTGTGTGTGTGTTCGTATATACATATTTATATATATTATGTATGTGTAAATATATGTATATGTATATATATATATATATATGTATATATATATATATATATATATATATATATATATATATATATATATATATATATATATGTATATATATATATATATATATATATATATATATATATATATATATATATGTATATATATGTATATATATATATATATATATATATATATATATATATATATATATATATATATATATATGTATATACATATATATATATAAATATATATATACATATACATATACATATACAAAAAAAAAAAAAATCCTGGCTAAAATCAGTGTGGCATTGTAATTGGTTGTGCTATGCATCACCTACGTGATTTTTTGTTGAACGGTGAAAAGCATTTTTTTGCATATAGCCTCCACATACAATTCCATATTTAGTGATATTGTCAACTATTATATTCGCATTTTGCTCTCTTCACTTGTCACGTATTCTATGATTAAGTAAACGGACCAATAAATACTTCCTCTTATTGTTTATTTCAATCTAGACAAATTTTTACACAGTTACATAGTATTTAGACAGTGAGATCATGTCGTATGGAATTCCAAAAGTGACCTCTCTCTTCTTCCTTTTGGCCTCACCTATTTACTGAAATAGGTGTACGAGGTATGAGGGGAATTGAAAGTGACGAAGGGTGCTTGGACGAGTGCTGGTGAGGAGGCGATGGCACCGACAGGAACAGCTACCTGAGACAAGGTGGAGGCAGGGGGGAAGGCAGGAGAGAGGGCAGGGGAAGGTACTTGGATTTTAGGGACGATAGAGACTGTAGGGATGGTAGGGAGAGGAAGGTTGGTGTTCGTAAGGACCGTGGCAGGACGTGTGGTTTGGGTTGAATCCTGGCTGTCGATAGGGGTGGTTGCTGCAGGGAACACGGGGGGAGGGGGGAACACTGGGTTGGAGATTTTCTGAAATTCAGACAGAGGGACAATTTCGTTTACCTCTGAGGCAGGGGAAGGTAAGGTAAGGAACGTAGATGAAGGGAGAGCGGGCACTGCAGGGCTCGGGATGGAAAGGGGGGTAAAGGAGAGAGAAGTGGCAGGACCATTGGCGTTGGCGAGGAGCTCCGGGGCAAGAGGGTGGTTGAGGGCGAAATGCGCCGGGGAAATCTGGACGATGTTTCCCGCAGGAGGGGCGTCTTCGAGGTCTAGTTCGAACGCCGTTACCTCCGCCTCGGGGTCGTTGTTCTTGGCGTCTGGGGCCTGCGTGATGGGGGCGAAGCCAGGGCGTTCCTCTACCTCGGCTTGGTAACCCCCTTCCTTCGTCACGACGTACTTGACCACCTGCAGGACGCCGTCGGGTCTCAGGTACTGGTAGGATCCTCTGGTCACGCCGTTTGCCCGGCTCTCCTCCGCCTGCTTCTGGTCACGGGTTTCTGGGATTTCCACGGCGTAGGAGACGGAGTAGGAAGGGTTAGGGTTGCTCAGGACCTCCTCCTCGAAGAGCTCTTGTTGGACATTCTGGTCTCTTGCAGGAGGGAGGTAGTCGCTGTCAGGTACCACGACTTCCTTTGCAGGAGGGAGGTAGTCGCTGTCAGGTACCACGACTTCCTTTGCAGGAGGGAGGTAGTCGCTGTCAGGTACCACGACTTCCTTTGCAGGAGGGAGGTAGTCGCTGTCAGGTATCACGACTTCCTTTGCAGGAGGGAGGTAGTCGCTGTCAGGAACCACAACGTCTCTTGCAGGAGGGAGGTAGTCGCTGTCAGGTACCACAACCTCCTTTGCAGGGGGGAGATAGTCGCTGTCAGGTACCACAAAGTCTCTTGCAGGAGGGAGGTAGTCGCTGTCAGGTACCACAACCTCCTTTGCAGGGGGGAGATAGTCGCTGTCAGGTACCACAAAGTCTCTTGCAGGAGGGAGGTAGTCGCTGTCAGGTTCCTGGAAGTGATGAGGAGCACCGGTGACAACGGCTGCAGTCACCGCCAGCAGGAAAGAATAAACCTGATAGAAAAAAAGGTAAAAATAATTACTAGAGAAATGGGGAGCAAGATATTATGACGCTATTATCACAGATCCCAGATGTCTCAAGTCACCTGTAGTGATTTCAT